AAACAAATGGATCATTGAACAAATCAACTCAGAATTCTTACTCAAGTCACAAATGACCAGACTCAAAATATCCTACTCCAGATACATTATGCGAAGACCTAGGTCTCTGGAGAAGGTTCTAATTTTGGTAAAGGTGAAAGAAAAAAGAAGAGGACAACCAGCAGTTGGACTGAGTTACATCATTGGAAGTGCACTGTTGGAAGACCTGAAAGCCCTGGTTAGAGACTTGGAGAAAATCTATCTATGCGGTCGCTAAGAGTTGACACTGACTTGATGGCACAAAATCTTAAGCCTGCTGTGAATATGAAAGCTTTGTTATTGCACTTTCTTACTTTTTCTTGAGCTGATTTCATCCAGGCTTACATTTTCCAAGTACTCTGAATTAACCTTGGAGATTCTGTTCTGAGCTTTATGCACATATATGTAAGGAAAGAACAATTAAAAGTTATCTGAAAATGCTAGCTGCAATAGCAACTGCATGCAAACTGCATGGTGAGCATATGCCCAGGGAGAATTTCCTCAGGAGCAATAATATTCCTCAATTAAAGCAGGAAATCTCTAATATGCCATGGTTTCCTTTTCATCCTTTTCATCCTTTCATCAGAACTGAAAAACTGTTTATGAACTTTTAGAAAATAAAAAATTAAACCATTAGACAAAGTTAGTCAAATTCCCAAATGAAATAGGTCTAGACAAATCAAATACAAATAAAACCTTTCTATTAAATAAAATTTACATGCAGTTTATCATGTTGAAACATGGTGGTAGCAGTACTGTAAAAATAAATACAGTGTTGGAATAATTCTTAGAAGCAGCAGACATAGTACATAAGCTGAAACTTCCTAAGGTCCTGTATTTTTCAAAAAAGAACCAAGTACCAGAATGGATCTGCTGGAAACAGGAGTTCAAGCTTCATATAGACCTTCCCACCCATTGTGAAGAGGAAAGCAGGAAAGTGAAGCTTTTATTTACCTTACTAGGGAACAGGGTACAAAAAGATTTGTATTAGCCTAAAGCTCAGCACTACTTCTGCACTATTTTCCTCTGCCAGTAGCATTACAGCCTACTGTTCCCAAAAGTGCAATGAGATGGTGGGTTGATTCTTTAAAGAAATCAGCAGGCAGAAGGAAGATTGGACTGCCGTGTCACGGTATTGAGAATGTTAGTAAGTACATGGAATTTTGGAGTGCCTGAAGTTGGGGACATAATTATTTGGGCCATTCTAAATTCCCAAAGGCCTCCTAATGCAGGCAAAAAACTCTAGAAGAACATTGACCCCCACCTTATACATATATTCAGAAAAAAATGCATGTTTTATTCAATGGGCTCATTATGACGTTTAAAAAAATGATGATGTATTTTTTCTGAAAGTAGTCAGCAGGATTAATTTAAGTTTGAATTGGGTTGAGAAAAACTAATTTCTAAATTTCTGCTCTTTGATTTCAGAGTGGTGTTAAAAGTGAATCTGTTGGTATAACAGCTCTTTCAGGTACGAATCAAAATAATTTGAGTTCCTTTAGAAAATAAGCTATATTTTTAACAGTATGTTTAAGAAACTCTTTTAAAAAATTGTAACAGCTAGTTTATTTGAAATTATTTCAGTGACAGGCCAAGAAAATTCCAACTGAATGGTGAGCATAGAGTATATTAATAAATCTCATAATATAACTTGACAAATAATTATGTTCAAAGAAAGAAAAGCATAAATAATTTGACTGTTGAATCATGTTTTGCTTCAGAAACATAACCTCCATATTCTTCCCTTTCAGGAAGCAAAGGAATAATTCCCAAAGCTATATATGAATTCCAGAGGGAAAATCTGAAGAAGAATTTATTTCATAGCACACATTTTAATCTTGAACTTGAAAAGCTAAATAGGGTTGGAATTGATTGGATGGGAAATCACTAGGAAATCCCAGGAAATTGAGAAGTTGAAAAAAATATCCTGAAAGAAAGCAATGGCATACTGTTTCCATGTTGTTGCTAACAAAACTATACGGACATTTCCATGAAGTCATCAGGATCAAGTTTGACTCACGACTTGATTATTTACATCGTAAAACTCTGACAAGTTTTATGCTAATTGAAAACTGACATTTTGGGTTGTTGTTGTGTTTTGCTGGTTTTTAGGTCATATTGAGCTTTAATTATTCAGAACAATCTTCCCTGAGCAGACACTACCTAGAATTCCCAGCCAGCATAACCAAATTTGGGGAACATATTGAACAACATACAGGAGGACTGATTCAAATACTCTTTTCCTTCCATAAATGTTTGCCACTTCCAGTTCCAGTTAAGTGTCTAGTGCACTGCAATCAAGGTTTAATAATATAATCCTGGAAAATAGGGGCATGTGGGGGCAGGGGGAGAGGTAAAAAAGTCAAGTTGTCTGAAACCATGCAATGAAAGCCCTGCCATTTTTAAAGCATGCTGCACGTGTGATGCACCTAAAATAAAGCAAGGCTTCAATTGCGTAGTCATGACTGCCATCTTGACCTTTTTTTTACCACCCTTCCAGACTTCTTTGCTTGGGATACTTGATGATCTATCTAAGCAACCTGTGCCTCATACATCTAAAAAGTTTTCCCTGGGAACCTTGAAAAGAATCATTGTGACTGAATGGTGGAAATAGAGTATGTTAATACATCTCTGGATATGACATGACAAACAAGTTATGTTCAAGGAAAGAGAAATACGAATACTGTTTGAATGATGAATTATCTTCTGCTTTAGAAACAAAGCTTCCAGATTCTCTCCCCTCAGGGAGCAAAGGAATAATATCCAAGGTATTATTAGCTAGAGAACAACCTGATCATCACTCTATACCCATACTTGCCTCAGCACATGAAGACGGTTTCATTTATCTATGGACTATTACGGTAGGTCCTTTTATGGAACTGGACTGAAGTAGCGAATGTATTCAAGAGCTTTCAATTATGTTTTCATCCAGCCAAGGGTCTTTTCTACACCTTCCATGTTTTCCTCTTTTTCTGTTCTCCCAAAAACATGTAAAGCTATTCACACTTTTGTCTATGCCATTAGGTGGTTCGTTTGGCTTAAGCTTAATGGGATGTATTGTCCTGTCTCAGCCCATGCACCCACAAACACACAGGTGGTTGCAAACTTTACTGAGAAGTTTGTGAAGCAAATAAGCAAGCAGCAAAGGAAATGTGAGTGCAGCCACACATGCACACACACTAGAGAAAGCAAGTCCCAAAAGTCCAGCAAGCTTGCCTTGAGAGAGTTCCAAATCCAAAACAGCAGGCACAAGAGTGGTCAAGTGAGGTCCAAGGTTCCAAACATTGTAGAAGGGCCATCAGCCGGTCCAGGTCCAGAGTCAAAGTCATGAGGTTTCAAGCCAGGAGTCAAGGCACGCAGAGTCTGGGTAAATGAATAGTTTTTGCCAGTGGAGAGGCTTGAGCTTGCTGCTCTTCTTAAATAGAAATAGCCTCATTGTTGTTCATTTGGAAGGGTATGGCTCCTTTCTTGAGAGGAGCCTTGCAGAGTGCCTTTGCTCTGCTCTGCTTTGCTCTCTGCCTGGTGAGCCCTTGCACTGGGAGGGGCTGGCAACTCAGACTGCTCATCTTCAGAGCCCACAGCAGCTGTGTCTCCTGGTTACTGGGGGGCACAGCCTCTTCTGCCTTCATCCAGCAACTCTGGAACTGGGTGCTCATTGTCAGTCTCCTCATCAAGAGTCCGAGCTGGCCATTTGGTTTGTGAACAGTAGTTTATGCCTAATGTGCAAATCAGGCCTTTATGCTTGAGCAACAAACCACTGATTAAAAAAGACTTGGCATGAACATAGTACAGTACACTGAGTATAGTATCATTTACTTAGAAGGAAGTAGACATATGGTTCTGCTGTATGTCAGTTTAATGGCTAAAATTGAAGATTTTGATTTTGTTAGGTATGAAAGTGTGTATGACTCATGCAACTCCCAACTCCTAACTACCAGAAAATTCTGATTTGTTAAAAGAAAGTGTGACTATATTTCTGTTTGTAAAGGGAGATCTACTGAAAGAAATTTTGCCTTTCACGAAACATCCTCCAATTCCTTTGACAGCACTTTGTACTGATGGGTCTACCAAAATGCTTTTTGCTGCTAATAAAGGTAAGCTTTATTGCTCAGCTATGATTGTCATACACTATTATGTATATTTATATATACATACATGCACATGCACACACATAACCACAAAAAAAGATTATATCCACCATATCAAATAAAATGGCAACTGAGGCCATCCCCCTCCAATTTCTTGGACACTATCTCCCAGATTTCCCAGTCATCAAATATAGAGGGTGGAAAAATTAAAAATTAAACTGTAGTTGAATATTGAAGATGGCCTCCCTGTTTGGATCCATCAAGAACTGTTCAAGAGAATTCTCCAGAAATGTTCCAGCTCAAACCTTCGGAAGTTCTGATCAGTGCCTTGATACCATCTGAGATCCATTGTGAGCAGTTTGGGTGGTTCTTAATGAACAAAATAGCCTGGATTCATATCAGACTTGATGACACTTTAGGCAATTCTGCACCTAGGGTATCTACTGCATTGTATCTTAATGTCTATATAAATCAGTTTTGTTGCTTGTCCCCTTAAAAGTTGAACAATATTCTTGGATCTATTGGTGCTACAACTTACATGTTAATCCCTCCCTGACTTGGCTAACAAGAGCTTTTAAAGACTCTATCCTATCAGTGATCATTCAGAAAATTTTGAAGCTATCATTGGACCTGGCTGGGCATCCACTAACAATGAGTACAGTATTCGATATTCCACACCAAGCTGGTGGAGAAGGCAGTACCATGCTGCAGCTCTAGACTGAAACAGATTATCTTATTACTTTCCCATCTGAGCATAGAACCAGGTTTGGCACAGAAATAGCCTTTATTGTCTTGATTGATGATTATATCAGCAAAGAAATGGGGGGCAAGCCCCTGGAACTCTCTGCAGCTTTTGATGATGTGATTATGGTATCTTGTTAGCACACTGGACAGTTGGAGGCTGTGCTTTGTGGTGGTTCTACTCCTGTTTCTGGGCAGAAAGTGGTACTGGGAAGCTTGTGCTTGTCACTTTGTGAATTGTCCCCTCAGAATCCTATTTTGTCTCCCTTGTTATTTAACATCTGTATGACACCACTGGGAAATATCACTTGCAGGTTTGGATCAATATGCTGGTGATTGTTGTTGTTGTTGTTCAGTCGTTAAGTCGTGTCCGACTCTTCGTGACCCCATGAAC